ACTGCCACTTCAACTCTGCCTCCTCCTGGTTATACTTGTGTCTACCTTCCTTGTAGCCACAAAACCAAGCACGCCGATCTTCGCACTCGTTTAGAGTTGCTCAAAATCAATCTCAAACGTGTATATGCCATCCAACGTCCTGCCAAGCATATTGTCTCTCTTCTGGTACACTCCCACTATGCTGCTGAAATCCTTAAGATCTGTGAAAAGGACGAACTTCATCCCATCACTGATTTCAATCCTATCTCTGGTAAAAATCTGGGTGATCCCCATCTTTTGAAGACTCTTAATGCTCAACAACTGGATGATAAAGCTAAGGCCATCTACTACAACCGCATGCTCCAAGCTGCTACTCAACTTCGTGAATCCCGTATGGGTCTGGCCATCCTCAAGTTCTTCAATGGTCTTGACAGTGCTGATAATCACTTTATCCCGCCTGTCATTATTGATGAGTTCTTCAAGCTGAAGCCTGATTGCGTTCGCAAAATCGGTGCTGCCAACACTGCTCGCTCTTCTGTTCTCAAAGGCTTTGATGCCTCCAACTTGTTTGCCTCTCTTACAACCTCCACCAACAATGCCGATGCCAGCATTTCTCAACCTGGTTCAAATCCTCCACCTCTGACTGCTGCTAGTAACGCTGGCTCCAGCCCCATGGATACGAATCAATGATTGTAGACTCACAGCCTACTTTCAACCTTGCAATGCTCAACGTTTCTGGTATCTCTACGTCCTTGGATTTAGTGATACACTATATAGAAACACATCACATCGACATTTTACTACTCACGGAAACCTTCTTGCTCAAAGGTGATCTATTCACTCAATGGGCTCAACATCATCAATATGCTACCATCTCAGGTGATGCATCCAAAGGCAATGGTGGTTTGACATTTCTAGTTCGACCTCATTTTCCTCACTAAGTTCACCGTAGCACTGATCCAACAACCACACAACACAACAAGCTCAGTATCGTGATTGGTAACTCGCTTACTGTCCATGGCTTCTATTTACCACCAGCGCTATCTTTTGCAGACTATCAAACTGTATTGGGTAGTGTTGACTTCAACTCTTCATCGTCAGTTATTTGTCTTGGTGATTTCAACACTCGTCTTGGCTCATTCACTGGTGATACCCGTTGTACGAACCCTCGTAGCAATTACCTCCTCAATTGGCTTACAGTCCATCAGGCTAATCTCTGGAATCGTATTTCTACATTTGGACAACCTACATTTGAGTCTAATCGAGGCACAAGCATCATTGATTTCGTGATTTCACGCCCCAATATATTCTCGGCTAGTCCCTTGTTATCTATTGAAAGTGATATCAATCTCAACTCGGATCATCACCTTGTGCAATTCTCGTTTAAGCTACACCAACAACCTCAACTCCTCCCAACATCGACTTTGGCTGGCAGCCGTCGTCTTTGGAACTTGCAACGTTTGGAAGAAAAAGACGTATTTGAATTATATCGCAAAAATTTCTTTTCCAACATTTTCAAACTGCAACAAGAGGTCAAGCACTTTATGGCTTTTCAACAACAGCAACACCCCAATTTGTTTGTGCTCTCTGGTGACACAGCAACTAAGCATCGGAAGGAGGCTACTATCAATCAACGGATCAATGCTACTAATGGTTTCTATTTCGAGGTTGTGGAATCTCCCAAGGATTTCATTAACCGTGTTGGCATCGAAATAATCCAAGCGATCCACTCAGCACTTGATAATTCAGTAACACCAAGAACACCTAGGCCTAAAACCTGGAAATTCTTTTGGGATGCAGAATTACAACATTTGGCTGACATTAGACAACAATGCTACACTGATTGGAAACAACACAAGCACCACAGAAGATCATTGATTGGCTCAACACACCTCTGGTCTCTCTATCAACAAGCTTGCAACAACCTCAAGAAGGCTATCAAGGCTGCTAAACGAAGACATTGGAAGAAATTTTGTAATGACATGAGTGATTCCTCTTCAAATCAGGTGTATTCCGTTCTAAAACGCTTAAGAAAGAAACACACTACTAATCATTGTTTTTCGCATAGTGAAGGACCTGAAGTAGCTGCAAATGTAATGGCAGATTATCAAAGACACATTTTTGGGGGAGATCAATTGGATTTTTCAACATGGAGAGCCAGCAGATCACCACTCCACCAGCACACCACTAAACCAACATTCTTTTCTGCTTCAGCAATCAAGCAACAACTATCAGCAATGGGTAATCGTAAGGCACCTGGAGATGATCATATTGTAAAGGAGATGCTCATGCCTATATGGTATCCTCTTTGTAATTTCCTCTCTGAGTTCTTTACTTTGTGCTATACATTTGCCTGGACACCTGCCTCTTTTCGATCTGGTCTTATTGTCCCTATCTTCAAGAAGGGTGATCCCAACTCAGCTGCAAACTATAGGCCCATCAGCCTCACCAACACTTTCAGAAAGCTCTATGAACGATGTCTCAAATTTTGTCTTTTGACCCACATGCCGTCTCTTGATGTTGCTCAAGGTGGCTTTCGAGCCGCTCGCAGTGGAATCAGTCAAGCATGGAATCTCTTGGCTTTACAAAAGCAATTTGAGCAGCAATACGGTGTCTCACCAGCACTCATCTTTATGGATATCAGCAAAGCATATGACAGTGTCACTCGATCCAAGATCTGGCAACTACTTCATCCTCATCTACCAAAGGCTCTGTTTTACACCCTGCGGCATCTTTTTGATCATGTCACTCTCAATGTAGTCATTAACAATGCTACATCACTGCCAATCCATCCAAAGCGTGGTTTGCTCCAAGGCTCCATCTTGTCTCCATTTTTGTATGCCATCTTTATCAATCAACTGCCTGCTCTGTTGCGTACTGCGCCTGTACGTTTTCCACTCTATGTGGATATCGCTACTCGTGCTCGTACTGATGGTGATGGTCCTTCAGCTGACATTACTGAACCTAGTTTTGCTCTTGTGAAATACGGTGCAGGTCCACGTTTGTCTGAAACTGCCAGCAGCTGCTCTCCTCGTCTTGGTGTTGTTCGTCAAAAAACAGCTATCCACTCTCTCTTGTATGCTGATGATGTCTGTCTTATTGCCCATCGTCGTGACATGCCGTTACTGGTTCAGCTGTGTGAGGAGTACTCGTTGCGATTTGATTTCAAGTGGAGTCCAACCAAGTGTGCTCTTGTCAACTATCACTCTAGGCGTAGGCCTATTCAATTGTATGGTATCAATGTCCCTATTGTTCCTAGCTATGAGTATCTCGGCGTGCCCTTCAATGCCTCTGGTATTGATAACATTGCGTTCCTCAATGCTAGCACAAAGAAGGCCAAGTCTACCATGGCTCTCTTTCGTCGTCTTGGTGTCCATCAGTATGGCTTTGGTCTCATGTTGGCACTTCAAGTGTATCGGGTGTTTGTACGCCCCATCATGGAATATGCTCTTGCTCTTCTTGGTCTGAATGCTACTTCTGCTATGGCTATTGATCGCACTCAAGCTAGCTGTCTGAAAATGACTCTCAATCAATCTGAACGGCACAACGCCCCGTCCATGGTTCTCAATATGATGGGCAATCTGCCTACCATGTATACTCGTGCCCAGATCTTGACTTTCAAGTTTTGGTATTCGCTTCAGTTGAAAGCTCGTCCTTTTACTTTGGTGGAATGCATCCTGTATACGCATCAGCGTCTTAAAATTGCTCCTGCTCTGTGGCGTCGTCTTAGCTCCAACAAGATCTGGAAGTTGTACAAATCGTCCCCCACTCACACCACTCCCCGTCTCATCTGTGAAGAGTTTCAAGATGCTCAAATGTTGAGATGGACTAGTCAAAAATCATCGTGTTTGCGTGCTCTGCGTGAAGACACAACTGGATATGACCCTCTCTTGTTTTATCCGTGTACTCGGTTGGAGCGATTGCGTCTGATTCGATGGCGTTTTCATCATCTCCCAAGTTTCCCTCTCTCAGCTTGTCGTTGTGGCGCACCTAGTGCAAATAGATTTCATTATCTAGCCGCCTGTCCTCTGGTTCAAGACATTGTCAACCGCATCCATCTCAATCTGCCTGATGACTCCATTCCTTTGGATGAATCCTATGATGACCAAGGTATCGCTACCACTCATATTCTGGATCGTATTCTGAATTCGCTACCTTCTAATCTGTCTTTCTGTCTGGGCACACACTGGGAGAGAATTTGGCCTCTTGTTCTTGAGCTGATTACTCAAATTGACATTGCAAACCATCCTGCTGGATCTTTTGCTGAGGAACCTCCTTCTGGAGAGCTTTTTGAACATTATTTGACTCAACAACATCACTTTCAACAACAGCAGCAACAGCAACAACAGCAACAGCAGCAACAACTCATTCAACATCTATAACATTGATCTTCTCCTTAAATTTACGCTTTGTATATGATGTCTAACACATTCTGTAGTCTATTTTTTGGAAATTCGCTCCCTGTGATTCTCATTGAGAGGTTGGGTGTTTTGATCCTACTTGTTTATGATATGTTTCGCTCGAGATGTTGAAGTTTCATGAATGGAAGCTACTCTTTTTCAACCCTTGTTCTTTTATTAGGTGGTCGTGCTCTACCTTGTTTGTAGTACAAACCCTATTTTGGCTATTTCTTTGTTTCAGATCAAAGATATATCTTTCAATTTCTTTTTTTGGGTGTGCTCTACCCCACATTTTACACAACTTTATTTTGACATTTCTTTACTTTTTGGATGCAATTTTTCACTTCTCTACTAGTGTTTTTTTTTCATTGCTCCACCTTTTCAACTCAATTATCTTTAATTACTGGGATGGCCATTGTATTGCCCTACAGGGACGAAGCCTAAAATCCTCTCTTTTATAATAAATTAACATTTAAACTGGACCATTGAGGAGGAGATACTATCGACTCTACGCGTGCAGGTATCAGCAGTATTTATACTTTTTCGGAAAAACCTCTTGCCGTTCAGCCGCCTGTTTAGCCGCTTAATCACCCCAACCATCTCAATCTTTCGCTTTTCCGAATGCCAGGTTCGCCGATCCCGCCGAATCTAAACCCTGCTCCACCGAGTTCTACCGGTGCAGCACAATCCATCGAGGCACCATCCTCCGATTGGACCTCCACTATGATCACCACCTCTGGATCTGCCTCAGCTTCTACCAATGCATCCACCTCCACCTCCAATAAGCGCCGCCGCGATTCAATGCAGCAAGACATTGCCGGCCGTGATTATTACAATAACTTGAAGCAATCAGAGTTGATTGATCTGGTAGTCAAGCTCCAAGAACAGAATCTGATTCTCACCCGTTTACTGGAACGATCCACCCTCACTGCTGCTACCAATAATACCTCTGCTGCCTCAGCCACTCGTCTGAATCTTACTCCAAATGTCAGTTTCACACGTACCAAATCTGGATCTGCTGCATCTCGTTATGCATCGGAAAAGGATTTCCCAACCTTGAATTCAGGTACCAAAAAGGGATCTGCCAATGCCAAACCTACTGCCAACTCTGCCACCACTACTGCCAACTCCAAGAAGAGCTCTGGTTCTAACAAGAAAACTTCCAAGAAGTCTTCTTCTAAAGCCAAAGTCCCCTCTGATGCTGCTGAAGCCAAGAAATGGGCTTTACGTCTATTTTCTACACTACGGCCCAACTGATGTTCTCATGAGAACATCGACGTGCTCATATGAGAATCTATTTGATGTTCTCAAATGAGCACATCGATGTTCCCGAAAGGTGAAAAATGCTCTCATATGGGAACATCGGCGTTCCTAAAGATCTATTATAAGTCGGCCGATGTTCTTATGAGAACATCCGAAATGTTCCCATGTGAGCACATCCATATTCTTTTATAAGCACATCGATTTTCAGAAATTTGAAAAAAAGAATGCTCCTACCGCGGTCGAACCCACAACCTATCGGTTGTGGATCTGACGTTCTTCCTACTAAATTACTCGAATATCTTATTGAAATATATTCTTTTACTTTAATAAGTAGTTATTAGGTAATTTTAAATAGCCATTTTCTCGTGCAATTTATAATACGTTTAGTAATTTTATGAATCTTACAGATAATAAAAGTCTCTCTGTTGCCTACAATATTATAGTTTAGTTATTAAAACCATTTTATTCTAGTGGAAAACTACATCTTCTCAAATGAGAACATCAATGTGCTCATGAGAACATCGATGTTCCCAAAAGAGCGCATCGATGTTCTGTGAGAATATCAGTTGGGCCGTAGTGCTACTCCTACTGCTGCTGACACAACTGATGGTGATGATATGCAAATGTCTTCCTCCACTAATACTGTCACTTCAACTCTGCCTCCTCCTGGTTATACTTGTGTCTACCTTCCTTGTAGCCACAAAACCAAGCATGTTGTCTCTCTTCTGGTACACTCCCACTATGCTGCTAAAATCCTTAAGATCTGTGAAAAGGACGAGCTTCATCCCATCACTGATTTCAATCCTATCTCTGGTAAAAATCTGGGCGATCCCCATCTTTTGAAGACTCTTAATGCTCAGCAACTGGATAATAAAGCTATGGCCATCAGCAGTGAAATTTGGCTTAATGAACTTCACAAAAAAAAAGCAATAGTAAAATACAACAGAAACCAACTGCATTTTATTTGTGTGTAGAATGAACGACTGAAGATCCTAGTGCAGTGAAATCAGGTTTAATGGATTTCACAAAAAAAATAAAGCAAAGGTAAAATACAATAGAAATCAACTGTATTTTATTTTGTGTATAAAATGAACTGAAGATCCTGGAATTGAGTAAAAAAAAGAAGAGTATTTATACATTTGCATCTGGCTTGTAGGATTAGTGATGATAGAGAGCAATAGGTGCTGCTATTGCGATATCTGGCAAATGTTGTTGATGTTTGATTTAAAGTGGTAATCAATGCAGGAGCACTGGCCATAAGGGTCGATTTGAGTAACCTTGATGGGCTTGGGTGAGCTATCGTCATAGCATGATTTAATATAACTTTGATGGTTAAAAGTGCGATGTTTGTTATTGAAGTATGGAACAACCCTTTATCTGGGATATTGTGCAACTATGGCAGCAGGGCATAGTTGTCATATTTGAATATGCTTGTTATTGATTTAATTCTATTTGGATAAAGATACCATCACCTATTACGACCATCATGGGTGTGATTGAATACACTGTGATCAGGAGTGATTCATTCACACGATGTGCGATATAAGCGTGTATCTTTACTTTAGTGTGTTGAGGATATAGATCATCTCTGAGAGGCAAATGTATTAGGCGTCGTATATTACATAAGAGGATCTGAGAATGAGCTGAGATGCATAGTAGAAGTGAGAGGTCTTTATTCAAGCAGCACGAAGGAACATGAGTGGTGCCATCAAATGGCTAATCTATATCCTGGTTCCTAGAGAGTGGTAGCCTATGGCCTTTCGTCCCTGGAAGTGGGTTTCAATTCCGACAAATGTTCTTCCGTCAAAGCTATTAGGAAGAACATTCTATCCTGGATCATCTTTGTTGTTTATCCTTGACTGGCGGTTCATGAGTTCTGATGCAGCACATCCTCGTTACTGGTTCAAGGCTTATACAATTATCCCGCATTCAAGATCAAGGTCCTATTGCTGCGGCACTGTCAAATAACTATAAATACCTTTGATATCTACACTAGTTTTGATCCCTATTCAATCTTGGAATAACATAATAAATATATTCAGTTCTAATTGTATTTACTCTGTCTATATTTCGTTATTCTAAACATTTTTTACAATTAATTACTGTACCTCTATATATTGCATTATATTATCCCAATCCTAAATCAAGAATGTCTGCTGGTTCTGTGTCCTCTAATTCTACTGCTGGTTCAGCAAATGGTTCGATTCAAGTCCCTGGGGCTACTGCGGCTGGTCTTCCTGTTACGCTGGAAGATTTCGATCTCAATCCTTCTATGGATGGTCTTACCGAGGTTCTGTCTCAAGACGGTCAAGTGCTTGATGAAGACGAATTGATGGCTGAACTTGGTGGTGGTTCTTCGGCTTTGTCTGCGTTTGAGCCTCTGGAGAGCGTGAGTGGAGAGGTTGGATCTGGGGGGAAGTCCGCAGCTGAGCCATTGAGTGAGGCGATGGAAGCAAGTGAAGAAGCTTCATTAGAGCATGCGTTGAAGGCATTACGTGAAGAAAATGCGAAATTGTTGAAGGTGGTAGTAACGGCACCTACTGCGAGAGAGCGTCATGAGGCTCTGCGAGTGATTAGCAGCAATAAGGATGCGATTGTGGAATTGCGTAGCTATCGGGATGTGGTCAAGCCCAAGACAAGTGCGATGAGTCGTGGAATGATGCGTAGTGAAAATTTGGCTCTGAATCGTCGCGATTTACCCAAATTCCAGTTGGTTTCTGCAGCGGTGAAGGCTTTTCCCAACGAAGAAGTGTTTGAGAGCGTAGATCATTACTTGCGTACTTTTGAGAGCATCTTGAATTCATCATCGTTGGACTTGGAAGCGCAGTGGGCCAAGTTACTTCCGTTGTGTATGCCCAATGGGGATCGTGCGTGGGTCGACAAGACTTTGTTGAAGTGCAGCTCGTGGTGGGAAGCGAAGCAAGTGTTCTCTAGACGCTTTGGGTCTGCAGTGATTACTCGTCGCAATACGGATTTAGTATTTACGATGGTGATGAGTGCGTCTGAATCCATTATGGATTACTCGTGTCGATTCCAGCAAGCAGTGTACAATGCGGGCCTCCAGTTGGATGATCCAAGAGTGGCTGATCGCTTCATGGCGTCGTTAATCTTGCCGGTGCAAACGGCTGTGCGCATTACCTTGGTGAGAGAACAAGGCACTGAGTCGTGGACAGTGGATCGAATTACCCAAGTGGCGCGCGATGTGTTGGGAGATGACAACCGTTTCTATGCGCATGCAACAGCTTTGCTGCCAGGTGCTGCGTTTGAGGATCGTCAAGAGCGTCGTGGGTACCAAGGATCGTCAAGAGGGATGTCGTCAAGTGGAAGACGTAACCATGGAGGGTTCAAGCGAGTGGAGAGCAGTGGTGGAACCAAGAGGTATCATTGTAAGCAGCATGGTCCGAATGATTCCCATGGGTCTAAGGAGTGTCAGTTTTTGAAGTTCGAGAAGGCCAGGAGTGAAGGCAAATGCGTGAAGTGTTGGAAGCCATTTGAAAGGGGACATGATTGCAGCACTCGTCGTCCTCCTGGGGTTGGTCCGTCCAACACGGCTCTGAATCATGAGGTCTTCGCGGCAAGTGTGGTCACCAAGGACAATGAGTCTTCGTCCTCGTTAGGGGCATCATCTTCGAGGGATGCCAATGCAGACGATGCCAATAGTGTCGCTGATCAAGATCAGCTGATGAGTGAGTTGGCTTTCCAATGTAAGTTGCCTAGTGTGAATGTGAACAAAGCAGAAACTAATTACTTTGCGTTGTTGACCCCGTTGTTGATATGTGTAGAATCTAAGAATATCAAGGTCATTGGCAAGGTGGACACCGGGTCCCAAATTAGTTGTATTAGTTTGAAGTTTCTAATAAATGTGCTTAAGATCAAAAAAGTGAGAAAAGTTGATGGGTACCTGAAATTTTTATCCAAGTCTGTGAAGCGAGTGGCAATGACATTTCCATTGAAATTTAAATATGCTAATGGCATTGTATTTGAACATGCATTAGAAGTGGTTCCGTTTGAGCAAGGGTTGGACTTTGATGTCCTGTTGGGAGTGGATGTGTTGCCAAAGATGAATATTGGGCTTACTGGTGTGGCGTTTCGCATCGACAGTGAGCATCAGCATTCAGATGCTACAGAACATAATGAAAGAATGTTTGAGAATATCAATTTGGACTTTGAGGGCAAACATTTAGAGGCGGATAACGCACCTGCGGGTACTGAGGAAGAGCGTCAGGAGTTTAAGACATATATTAGCGAATCCTTAAAGAGAAATGAAGAGATACTTATCGAGTCGTGTTGTCCATTGCCAGAAGCTATAGTGAAATTACCTACAAAAGAAGGAGCGACGGCGCATCGTCGTCCCTATCCGATTGCTGAGTCGTTGAAGCCTGTAGTAGAGAGACAAATTCAAAAGTGGTTGGATACCAAGACGATCGGACGTTCGAGAATCAATTCGTCCTTTAATAGCCCTTTGCTGGTAGTACCAAAGCGTGACAAGTTGGGAAATGTAGTGGATCATCGTGTGTGTCTGGATGTGCGTTTGTTGAATAGTATTTTGCCACCTCCCTACAATTTCCCAATTCCTTTAGTAAAAGACATCTTTGAGAACTTGAGTGGTATGAAGTATTTTGGGACCACGGATTTGAAGGATGCTTACCACAGATTTCCCATTGAAAAAGAGAGCCAATTTAAATGTAGCTTTAGTTTTAACGGCCAAGGATATTATTTCTTGAAGGCTTGTTTTGGATTATGCCAGCTGCCAAGCCAGTATCAATTTACACTATCTACGTTGCTAGCAGGATTGCAACAAGTGCGTGACGAGTCAGGACGAGTGGTATCTACTACGCAGAATTTTCTAGACGATATCATTATCGCTGGCGTGGATTTTGAGCATTACAAGGTAGCCGTAAAAACGGTGATTGATCGGCTTACAGAGGCAAAATTGATTTTACAGCCGAGCAAGTGCCATTTTATGCAGAGAAAGGTGCGGTTGTTAGGCTTTG